GATACGAAAAATCGAGGCCGGGGGTATGACAGCAATTTCCTCTCGCAATTTTTTGTGTTAGTTCTGGTCGGGTGGATCCCGCCAGCACCGCCTAATATGTTCGAATTACAAGTGAAGTATTTAATGCGCTCGTATGTGCCCATCGGGTGGAATTGATAGAATTTTGGGATGCTCGGCGAGGGAGCGAGAGGCAGCGGTAACGTGTTGCAATTCCTGCGGCCGCACAGGGACGTGTGGTGCATAAAGATGACTGAGATGGGATCACGTAATCTATTTGCGGTGGATCGGAGCAGCTAGAGATGTGACGTGCGTTGGATGGGCAATCTCTACGTGTCGCACTTGCAAAAACTAGATTAATAACCGACTATTCCGGAGCCGACCGATGGTCAAATATGTACATGGAATCCCCGAAGACGGTCTAAAAGGAACTCGTGGCTTTTTCACAGAGAGTGATCGCTCTATAACTGGAATACCAAACGCCAGAGATTTCAGATTAGATCTTTTTCTACCTTGACTGAAATCTTCAAGGACGGACGGGAGTTCAATGGAAACAAATCTAAATGCTTACCAGATATCTGAGAAACGTCTTATGGGAAAGGATAAAATGCCCCTTAAGAAGATATTTACCAATTTTTGTGTTTCTTCTAGATATTAAACGAAAGAAAAGGACAAGGACAAGGTTTTGAATGAATTAGTAAACTGATACTATAAAATAAAAAAAATAATCATATTAACTCATCCAAACAATGACACAAAATTACCAGATGAAGTGCAACTTAGAACAATTCTCGAAACAGCACTGTAAACAAAATTTCACTCACTTTTACTGAATAATGTATCAATTTCTATCCACACTCAATTGAATGAAATATTTACTCTATTATACTCCGCGGTAGAAATTATAGAGAGTGACTCAGACATAATATAAAAACACTATTACCATAATGCGTATAAAATATAAAATGATTTTTATACGGTTCAATATTATTTATCTTTGTGCCGCTCGCTACGCACATCGATAGAATCTATAATCGTCTATAGACTGAGTTAAACTGAACGTCGATCTATATTCTACCTCTGTCTTTTGCACTTGGTAGGGAATAGGGAAATTCTTTTTTGGTGGGTGTAAACGGACTTGATTTATCCGTCCTGAGAAACGTCATAGCATAAGCGTAGACGAGGGGTCTAATTCCATGGCTATAATAAATTTATAAATTAAAAAACACAACTGGGACGGTTTAAAATGCTGTAATAATTAAAATGGATTAAAGTGCCGGCTATAGTAAACCGTAAAAAATATTAGATGTTATGTTTTATTATCTTTTTTCAATATTTTCTATATCTTGTTGCCTTTTGCAGACACGCCAATGAATTTTCGTTCCCGGCACGCTTCATCCCCCTTACTAGTCCAAAAGCTAGCGATGAGTCACTCTCTATAATTTCGACCGCGGAGTATAGTATGAGTACAACTAAAATTTTATGAGTGAAACTATTGCAACAGAATAGAGTGAATTTTACTCAAATCCGAGTTTCTACTAACTATCAAGTGAGTGACTTTTCACTCTATTCTGACTATGTAAAACCAGTTAAGAGTTGACTTTTTGTCTAAATTTAACTATTATTGAGTAATTTTTTACTCAGGCCTGGTTTATATTCTCTTTAAATTTTAAGTTAAATATTATTATATTAAAGTCATAAACTACTAAGCTGCCATAGTAGTTTCTACACAGATCTGTTTTAGAAACAATATTTTGGGTTTCGATTAAAAGAATTGGTTAACTGATCGGACGAATAGATTGTCATAACCGTTACAGATACGTAAGTAAGTATAAGTAACAATCTAATTATTTGTTTATTTAATAAAATATTAATCAAGACTCAATATATTATTGTTTTTAATTATTGTAATCAGACCACTGCATTTAAAGACGATTGTCACCAAAATAGCCGGATAAACTGATACTTGTCCAGCAAGATGACCTAATGCGGACGATGGGAATAGACAAACACAACGCACGACAACCATAGAATTGGGTGGGGTCACACAATAATGAGGACATTTACTCCGATTTGGGTACAAATGTACCAAATACGAGCTTATCTGGAGAATTTAATTAACGGGTACCTATGTATACGTATTTTAGTGAAAATACTCAGTTTTAGTTCAAATATTTTCACGAATGTGTAAAGTTATCAAAATGCTCAATATTTAATGAAAATGTACTCATTCATTTCATTCTGTACCTTTATTGCTCCTACTCATACCGATTCTTTTACAGTGTACATACAGAAATCAACCCATGGCTAATGCTTATACGACAAACGTTTGTTTGCTATGAATGTAATAAATAAACAATCTCAGGTAGTACCTACCTACGGTAATTCCCGCTGATGAATATTGAATACTATCAATATTTTGGATTACTGCACAAATACTGATAACCTATCAATATTTCAATGAATTCCCAACATTTTCATTTCGAGGACGAACGGAAGTTCAGCGAAAAGGAATCTAAATTATTCCTAAGTATCTGAAGAAATTTTTATGGAATAGATATCCATTAAAATAGTACCTACTAGAGGTTACTGTTTTGTTTGGACTATAATTATTTGAAATTGTTGTTTTTAATTATCAATACGAAGTGAGGAACTGGGAGCAGATTTTTAATTTAAACTAATGTCATTAAATTACCAATAAAACTCATCCATGCTTTGAAATTGAATGAGGATCTAAACTCCAATTCAAAACCGTTTTCGAAACATTAGCAGATTTTCATCTTCACACTCAGCATTCACACTCTTCTTTTACTTTACCACAGGTACAGAATCTAGAATATTGACCCTCGGAGAAAATAAAAGGTAAGGATCAATGCAAACAATAGTGTTTCCTGAAAGTTTATTTATGATCGTTTATCCGCTAAAGTTAAAAAGGAACATGAATGTTAGGTAGCAATCATTTAATTTTACCACTTCTTTCAGGTTTAAGTAGAAAAAATATCAATCGTGGACGAAAAATGGTAATGACCAAATTTATAGTGAATTAAGCTTTCAGCAATTTTGATTTATTTAACCATTTTTAGATGTATGTTGAAAATAAGGTAATTAAAATGAATTCACCCTTAAATTCAAGATAGGGGCTAACGCTACAGGGATGGAATCCAGAAAATTTGAATCTAGGAACCTAGATTGTCATTGCCCCCCCTTCCATCCAAAAACAAGTTTATATTTCATTTTCAAATATCCGTATGTACATAGCGACTGGGTTAATAAATAACCAGTATGTGTTCATACTGGTATACAATATTGTTATATTGTATACTATTAATATTTTGAAATGATATTTCAATAAATTTCCATCACAGTAATTACATAGATTAAGTATTTTTCTGCCTTGACAAACATTTTGGAATGCATACAGCACAATATGAATCTGAGATACCTGAAATGAGATATATGTAAATACATACGTACTACGAATAACAGATTTCGATTAGACCATAACTTTTTGAAATTTATGTTTTTATTAATAACATAATACAAGAAACAATAAACAACTTTTTAAATGAAAGAAAAACTAATACTAAAATAATAAATAAAACATTATAAAGATTTGTAAGTCATCCATGCTCCGAAATGAAATAGGAAGAAAAACTTCAAATATGACACATAGTACATTTGCATTTACGAAATACTACGAACACTGACTTTTAATGTCAAAATAAATATCTTAGACAGTAGCTTGTCTTTGATGAAAACGAAGATATATACGGATAAGTATCGAAGTAAAGTTAAAAGACAAATTTTGTATTAAAAATGTACAATTCATGTATTTTCTGTATTAACTACTATAAATATTGACCAGTCTAAATATTTTTAATTAAAATTGAAAATGATTGATTTATCAATCATTTAAGTAATTGCTTGTAACTTGGAAACTAATACCAATAAAAGGAAGAGATAAATAGATACACAAATGACTGTCTATCTTTACATTTTGAAATAAAATTAGAAGAAAAACCTCAACCCAAAATAAGGTAATTGTTTATTTTTGTTTTTACTCATTTATGAACAGTATTTGAACGCAATGCTCTAATCTCAAGGATGAAAGCTGATCACTCAAGAAATAAAAAGTTGATACTGATTGACTGAGGAACTTCATTTGCACTCAACCATATTTTTCTGTTATCTATCACAATTATTATTAACACTGTCAGCTTATTTATACTTTTTAGTGTTTAACTCTCATATATATTTTGTTAGCTATTCGCGATGACAGCAACTAAAAAAAATATGCAATTTTAGAACATAAAAACATCAACTATCACGAGTTTGTTAACATATTCGCCATAACTGCAACAGAAGCGAAATAAAAAACTGGATTCCATTCCGGGGTTGTGCGAATTAAACGTGTGCGCATTTTCGGGAAATTTTTAAAAATGTTTGATACTAAATGCACATACACGAGTACACGCGAGCATTAAATTAAAAAAATACAAGTCCACAAACTGAATGAGATTTATTTTTTACAACCGCAGTGTCACAATTAATATCATTACGCTATAATAACTTGTATAGGTCAAGCTAATGTTTACATTAACGCACACCATAAATTATGTGTATCAATACGACACTGCTTAATTGTGATATATGCCATATATCGCTTGATATTAACATTCATTTACATGTTAATAAATTCTAGTAAAATACACACGAAAGTCGGTTGTCACTATTTATACTCCATAAATAGGAAAATAGTATTTTCGTTGGAGGCACTAAATTAATTAGTGTGGCCGACATACGAGCGAAGTCGCTCGTTATTTCACGTGTTGTTTGTTTCCAACCTAATTACAAACTTAACAAATACCAGCTAGTTAGGCTAATAATTAATAAATATGTTAGATGCGGTGTTAAGGGTTATTCGTGTTCTCTCTACCTGACCCAGTTGTATTAGTAGCGATACAGCGACATCTGTAAAGTATGGCTTGCATCTGTCCACTTACCCATAGCGTCTGAAACAAAAACAGAACAACGTTAATAAAAATTTGACTTAAATATATGTTGGAACTTTTAAAATTATTTAATTGTGGCATACATGATAAAGATGTTTCAAAGAATGTTAAGTGGTAATGTCGCTTAAAAGCACAAGAACTATCTTCTTGGTTGTAGTATTAACGAAATAATGTTTACACACAATATACTACGAATCAGGAGGGTCATACACTTTTCTATAAATAGGTTTTAAAGAGATAAAGAATTGTGACCTTGAGCAAGAAGTAGATTCTTCTCTGTTATGCCGGTTTATGAATGGGGTGGGATTTTAAATTTTTTTTCCGGAAATTGTTCTTTTGCGCATGCAAAATACATATAGGCTGATTCAAAATTCATCACAAAGAATTTTTGGACTTTTTCTCCTGTAAACGCAAGTCCAAAATAAATTTTAAAATTTTTCACCGTAAATTTTGAAAATATGGTGTGCATTTACCTCTTCATCAGCCAATATATCGGAAACTGTAGATCTTAAATTTACCTTCGTAAAACCCTGGTACCCCAAGTTTTTTATGCGTACATTCAAATATGTTTGGAAATTATTCCTAAAAAATCGAAAAAATAAAAAACTTTGACACCCTGTATGCATTTGTGGACACACGTTTATAGGAAAAAAATCTTATTTCCGCCTCAAAAATACACAACTAAATTCTTTGTACTGAATTTTGATCATCCTGTATAATTCAGAAATAATTAAACATACGAGTATTCATAGCGAATATACAGAGTATTTTGGAAAGGCACTGATAGAACATAAAAAATAAGAAGAATCTCTCCAATGGACCATAAGCCGATCGTCTTTTGTTTTTGAGACATGTGTTAAGTCATTTTTAAAAATCCAAAGTAAAGTTTAAGTACAATTTAGTTCAATGTTTGGTTCGAGTAAGTTTATGAGGGTTATGAACCTTTTCTAATGACATTTGATGACGTAATTATTCTGAGGTTATGTTGTTTACGCTGTATGATCTAAATACAATGTAAAATTTCATTTTAACTAAAAAATGTACTCGCTGGAAACGCATCATTTTTTTAAGAAAAACACTTGACTATCCCATAGTAGTTTTGACTTCTTAGTATACAAAGCGTTCGCGAACGAATGGACCATATTTCAAGGTCCTTTGGATGAAAACAAACCGAATTATGCCAAGTTACATTAGTTTTTACAATTTTGTTTCCTTAAAAAGTAATGTTACTAAGTATTAATTAAAATGGAATAAAAAAATAAAAATATTTCAGGGGCTTGATTTTTGAAAACAGGAGAACTGATTCTCCAGAGAAAAAATTCATCTGACAAATTTCTCTTAAAAACTTAAACACTTATTTTTGAACGTTGAAGGAATCCAATTCTCTAGAGAATTTAATTTATGCCATATGTCGAGGATATATTTGCAACTGACCAATCAGCGGGCAGAGTTTTCTTCAATATTTCAGTGCCATTATTGGCGACCCTGATGTTTAGTCACTTGATTTGATTTTGAAGTTTGTTTTGTAAATGCCATTATATTCGTCAGGGAGACTAGACATCTCCATGATATTCGTAGTAATTTAATATAACTTCAATTTGAATAGAAGTATATTTGAAAACACAAAAAATTTAATATTATTATAATTATGATGAAGCGTTCGTTCACGTCGAAAGCGCAAAAAAGAAATTAATATGCTTAGAAACAACGAAGAACTTTTTAAAATGAAAGTTTTCTTCTACTTTCACTCACAAAAAGGCCCAAAAACAGTGATCAGATATTGCTGAAACTTTAAATGGTTTAATTAATGTTGTTGCAGATGGTTTACAATTTCTGCACTTTGCAAATTATTCATTATATTTAGAATTAATAATAAATTGTTTGGATCCATTACAAATTTCAAATGATTACGCACCTTCGAACAGCGAATGAATGAAGTGACAATTCGCGCATGAGCATGAGATGACATTTGGATTCAAACTATTTGGAGAAAACGCCAATTCCCCCGACAAAACTCTGTGGAATTTTTTCTCTTGATATCTAGAGAAAATATTCCACAAGAAAATTTCAAAAATCACATTATCTGTGTGTCAAGAGAAAATGACGTAATTTTCTCTAATGAACTAATTCTCCTGTTTTCAAAAATCAAGCCCCTGGAAGGATGTTACTAAGGCAACTTGATCTAAATCGGCTTATTTTAATTCAAAGAAACTACTTTTGAAGTATGGCCTATTCGTTCCTATACATCCTGTAGATTAGAGAATAAAAGCTGGTTAACTTTGGGATAGTAAATGGCGTTTTTGTTGAAAAGCTGTATTTTTAGCGATTTTATGTAAAATGAAGTTTTGTGATATAATAGACATACACCGTAAAGAACCTAACCTCAAAAAAGTTATGTCATAAATAAATGACATAAACAAAGGTGGTAGCTAGCGACATCTAGCAGATGGTAAAAAACTAACAAGACTGATGCATTTACACCCTATATCTGTATCAAATTTGAGTGAATTTGATTGTTTTTTGAAAAAGATATAGCAACAATTTCATTCTAAAAAACCATCTTTGAGGCTCTGTATCTCAAAAACAAAAGAGGACATGGAAAAAGATCTTATTTTTATGTTCTGTGATCGGTTGAATTTATGGAATCTGCATGCTCAAGAATGAAGAAGATTGAAGACGTAAAAAAATACTATTGGCAATCATTGTTTTATGACCGTACTGATTTATATTATATTGTGGTATATATATTTAAATTTTACTAAAACAGTATTGAAAACATACATTGTTAGCGTAAAATAGAATTATGTCGGCAGTATACAGCCTTTGTGACGTCATCCGCGACGTGTATTGCTTGAATTCCTGTTTCTATCTACTATATCTAATTTGTTGCGAAGAGGTAATGTTTAGTCACATTGTACGTCATATGTTTTGACTTTCCCACAATCTCCATAAAATTACCATGGCGATATTGGCTGGAAACGTCTCGCATAATGCAACATCTGATCTGCGCGCCGCCAAGAAATGTTGTTATGGTAATTCCGTTGTGTGTGCACTGATAGTAAATAAATTTTCTACAACGTCTGTTACGTTGTTGTAACTAATGGATTCTAAATGCGCGTAAGTCTTTAGGCGCTTTTTAGAGGTAATAAAATTTTCTGTGAAATTTGCTACATATACACGCCCCGATGGGAGTCATTCCGCGTTATTTGCATTCGCCTGCCTTCGGAACGGCTCTAATTTGACGGAATGCAGTGTGAGTAGGCATAAATCTTCAGAGTAGACTCAATTTTATATAATTGATATAATTGCTTATTTGGATGTTGCATGTGAATTAGCTTGCACAAGAAATAATACATTAAGCAAGTAAAAATTACATTATGGATGTAAAAAATACATTATGTTTGTAAAAATTACATTAGTATGTAAAATTACATTAAGCACGTGAAAATTACATGAGCACGTAAGAATTATCCTAAACTATAAAAATCATATGAAAGCATGAAACTGTACAGTTTTGAATTTTTCTGAATCGTTTAAAATATCCGTTTAATAAACTTTATTTTTGATTTTATCAATTGTGAAAAATCAATAATTAAACCAAAATAATGAATAAACTGTCGAAGTGTAATCAGAAAAAAATCGTGGAATACAAAAAGCGACCAATGAACAGTGCGATCAATTATAAAAAAAAAACGAAAATTTGGTTTATATCTGTCAAGTGGAGAAATGCAACATCCAGTTGTTTTTTATATATTTTATATAGATCGAAAATGTCTTAAAATTTGAGACTTTCTAATTTTTGTATATAGAAGGCTAAAATAGAAATTAAGAGTTGAAGCACAACAGTTTCATGTAAAATCACACTTAAATGTGTGTAGGTATTTACAGTAATAAAAACACGAAAAAGATTAGAATTACTGCATTTCAAAATATAATAATACCTATTACGTAAAAAGTAACACGAGAGAAGTAGGTAAATAGGTATACTTAACAATCGGACAATACTTAATTTCAAATTTCTGCGTATAAAAGCTAGGTATTTTATAGGGAAAAAGTATTTTAATATTAATAAACACTAGCAGTTTTTTTCTGTATTCCGCGACATTTTTATTTTGTGTTTTATATTTGACGGGACGTATTACGCTATATGGCAAATATTATCGGAATAATCAGAAAAATTAAATATGCCTTTAAATATACTTAAATAGTTGGTCTCGATTTAAGTTTATGTAAAAAATACTAGAATGTGTATTACTTCTTTCATGATGCATGTAATAATAACCTATAGAAGTAAAATTACATTAAGCTTGTGAAAAATACATAAGTTGCCAAAAAAACCATTAAGTGTGTAATTTTGCACTTTTGTAAATCATTGAAAATGGACACATGTAATCTAATTGATTAAGAAAAACCGGGTCTTTAAATTACATGTTTACATTTACATAAAAATGGTAAAACAACTTTAGAATTAATATATTTTACAAATTATTATGAAACATCTAATTGTATTTATATTTGAAATATTAAAAACGAAGGATTAGAATTAATGCATTTTAACAATAGCTTACGTAAAAAATAACAACACACCGAAAAAACAAGTGTGAAAAATACACTAAGTTTGTAGAAATAACATTTGTAAAAATAGGTAACATTGAAAACGAAATTTTGAACTTTTGTAGTTTTACTTTTAAGCTATAACCATGTAACCTAATTGGTTCAGTCAAGTTTATTAAAAAAATTATTAATTCATTTCTTAAAAAATTATACATTTGCCTAAAATAACACCGGTATTTGCATAAATCAAATAAATATGCTTTATTATAAAAAAGTAAGTAAACAATTGACAATTCGAAAAAAAAATTCATTACATTCTGCTATTATTTTAATCCGTAGAGTTTCCTGACGGGCTTTCGGAACACCCCGTATATTCTAAAAGCACTTAGGTCCTAAGGTATATGCTTACGTTATTTTTTACACTCATAACCTAGCGTTGGTGTACA